TGTGTGTGTGTGTGTGTGTGTGTGTGTGTGTGTGTGTGTGTGTGTGTCTTTTACTTTGAGCGTGTGGATGTGTGCCGTACACGTCTTTGCATTGATGATTGGGATGAGAGGAGCAAGAGGTATAATTGTGTAGGTGTCTTGCATGCCTGCCGTTGAGTATACGGGAAGAACTGTTATGTGTGTGTTGATGTCTTTGCAACAACTATGTATGTATCACATGTTAGACATGCTTGTGAATCGAGACAGTGGGAGAATGGGTGGTGGACAAGATGAGAGAGTTGACACTTTCTTCATTCTCTTTTTCCTTTCCTGGCTTCTCTTCCCAGGATATCCTCTGCTTCTCTTTCTGGGGTCTGGGTACAGAGATGTCTATGAGACTTGGAAAGTGAGCCTGAGCCCTAGGTTCAGGATAAGAAGTTAGCTCTGTTAGGTCTTCCCTAGACCACTGATTGATTGGGGTGTGTGTTTGTCTTTAATGAAGGACCTTTCAATAAATTCTTGCTCTAGAGAGGAGCAGTACTTCCTGACCACCTGCCTTTTCTGTCCTTTCTTGTGGGTCAAGACCAATTTTTGCCTTTTATTCAGGCCACTTACATGGATCATCATTTGATACTTCTTTCTGTGTTGGTGTGTGGAAACCATTTGAGATTGCTATTTCCTTTGCTTTTTTATTTAATTTTGAAAGTATCTGGAGGATATGAATGTCTGTGACACTAGCTTACTAAATGGATTTTTCCCTTTCTTTTATTTTCTCCTCTATTCAGCCTAGCCCTTGGCATTCTTCAGAAAAACACTGACTCTTCTGTTCTCTGATTGTAATTAGTCTGAACTTTGAGGTCTGCAAATCCTAAGCTTTAGTTTGTGTTCAGGTCAATTGCATTAGCATTGGTTCCTGTTTGAGGCCTGGTCAAGGGCCAAATTGAGAGTGAATGAGCATTGGGGTAGCATGAGGGAAGGGCCTTGAATTTTTAAGAAATGTAAACCCAGAGGGACTGTTTAACAATTGCCAGATGGCCTCCCTTTGTTCTTTTTTTTTAATAACAATAATAGTAATAACAACAACTAACCTAACACTTTAAGGTTTGTAGAGGTCCTAACATATATTATCTCGTTTGATCCTTATCCTTTCCCATTGGAAAAAGTGGTTTGAAGGTGGTGTGATTTTTGGCCTTCCTGTTACTACATCTCTCCTGTCCAGAGTAAGGGAAATGCAGGGTGGGGGCCCTTGTAGTTGTTGTGGCTCTGGTGACTTGTGTGTAGAGCAGGATGAATAGTCAGAGATACAACGTAGGCTGGGATGAAGAGGATCTCTTTTGGGCCAAAGTTAGCATTACAACAAAAGGAGGCACTCAGAGACTAATGACATGGGAGGTTGAGGAGAGTGTGGCGAACATGTGTGGCAGGTTGTTGCTTAAGGGTAAGTGAGTCAGGTCAGAATTTTCGTGCTTTTGTCTTTTCCAAGACTTGGAGAGTAGCTTATATGCAAAAGTAACCTTTAAAGTAAATTTACAAATATAAAAGCAGAATAGAGTGAGTCTGAGTATATGACTAGGTATCATCTCAGTGGTCATTAAAGGACATTAAAGGATACAAGCAGACTTTTGTCTCAATTTAGTATTGCTCTCTAAAATAATGTTAGCTTTGGATTTTGAAGCATTCAGGTGGATTTATGGTCAGGAACTTCTGAGTTGAAATTATGCCTCATTACTTCCTATCTGTGTAACCCAAGGAAAACCCTTAACTTCTCCCATTTGAACCTCATTTGTAAAATGGGATGGTAGTAGTACCCACTTGAGAGGGGGTTGTGTTGTTAGGCTCAAATGAGATGACGTATAAAGAGCTTTGCAGACCTTAAAATGCTACATAAATGTTAGCTATTAGCCATTATTAGTTGTTAGCTATGAGCCATTACATACAGAGAAGTTACCTATAAGACAGCAAGAAAGTAACTTTTCTTTTATGGCATTGTTTTGGAGACTAGTTAACTGGTATCCAAGAAACTTTCACAGGGGACCTATTTGAGAGACACTCATGTTGTGGGTCTGACTATAGCTGCTGGGACTGGGATCTAGGATTGGAAGCAGCCATCTTGTTCAACCCCCTCATTTAACATAAAATCTCTCAAAGAAATTAAGTCATTTATCCCAGATCACAGAGATAGTGAGCCCCAGAGGAAGGATTTGCACCCAGGTCCTCTGGTTTCAGAGTCAATATGATTTCTGCTCTACCACACTAAATACATAATTTCTTTAGGAGAGATTGTCTTCCATGGATGCCATGTGTGTAATCCGTACCATTGTGGGTTCCTCCCACACCTCTTTTGCATAGCAAATGTGTTTTGGTAGTGTAGTTCTGTGTTGTGCTAATGTAGAAGGAGGGATGGAAGAAAGGAAATAAACATTTGTGTTTTTTTCAATTTTAATATTTTTTGCATTTAATGGTATTTTATTTTTTTCCAACTACATGTGAAGATAGTTTTCAGCATTCATTTTTGTAAGATTTTGAGTTCCAGATTTTTTTCCCTCCCTCTCTTCCCTCTCCCCTCCCCAAGACAGCAAGTAATCTGATACAGGTTTTACGTGTACAACCATATTAAATAGGAAAGAAACATTTGTTAAGTACCTTCTATGTTCCAGACCCTGTGCTAAGTGCTTTTACAAATACTATTTCACGTGATCCTCACAACTCTAGGAGGTAGGTGCTATTATTATCCCTACTTTACAGATAAGGAAACTGAGACAGACAAAGGTTAAGTGAGTTGCACAGTGTTACACCGCTGGTAAGTGTCTGAGGCCTGATTTGAACTCAGGTCTTCCTGACTCCAAGTCCAGTGCTCCATCCATTGTACCACCTCATTTTAGAAAGTAGTAGATAGAGTGCTGGACTTGGAATCAGAACAATATGGATTCAAATTCTGCCTCAGACTCTATTTGTTTGAGCCTGGGTAAGTCATAAACTCTGTGCTTCAGTTTCCTCATCTATAAAATGAGAGAGCTGGACTCAGAGGCTTCTAAGGTCCTTTCTAGCTCTAAATCTGATCTTGTGATCTGTGGTTTAAGTGACTGTGGCCTTTACTGTTTGGGCTGATTTCCAGGAAAATGTTTTAATAAAATGAGTGCTGAGAACTCCCAAGAAGCCTGTGAAAAAGTGTGTGTGTGTGTGTGCGCGTATTTGTGGGGTAGGTTATAGGACAAAATAATTATCTAACCTTGGCCAATCCGTTGATTACATGTGACTTAGTGAAAGTTACCTTTCTTCTCCAAAGCTAGAGGAGGAATGGTTAAGAGCCAAAACCTTGGAGTAAATACTCCTCTGGGAGTAGCACAGTCTGTGTGCTGAGAACCTGAACCTGAATGAGCTTGACGTGGGCCTCTTGGTTTGGTTACAGCGTGTCCGTGGTGGAGACTGGAAAGGCTACACTGGGAAGACGATTACAGATGTGATCAACGTTGGCATTGGAGGTTCTGACTTGGTAAGTTAGTTCCAGAGGTGTTCAAGCCTTTCTTCCCTTTGTTGACTCTTTGGTTGAACCTGACCCCTGTCCTTGGTGGTTCTGTTTGTAGGGTCCTCTGATGGTGACAGAAGCCCTGAAGCCCTACTCCAAAGAAGGTCCTCGTGTTTGGTTTGTCTCCAATATTGATGGTACCCATATTGCCAAGACCCTTGCTGAACTCAACCCGGAAACTTCCCTCTTCATCATTGCCTCAAAGGTATGGTGTAGATACCTTTTCAGGTTGGTTTGAGGAATGACCAAAAAGGGGTTGGCAAAAGTTTGGATTTGATAGAAACAGAAAGAGCATCTAAACAGCTCTGAATACCAAGATGTAAGTGTCCTTTGATTTATGAAACACTGTGTTCTTGAAAACTTGAGCATAAAACACTCTGCTAATAAATCTAATTGTGTTTAAATGCACCAGAAAAGCACTCTGATCAAAGGAACCCTGCAGTGGATTATTTTGTAAAAGTGACAGAATGTTTTGTAAATAAATTGGCTTTTATTTATTTCTTTGATGTAAGACCCTATAAGTGTTGACTTTTCCCTTGTATCTATCTGAGTAGCTCTTAACTTATTTCTGAGTGGATTTATCTACCATAGAGAGTCCTAGGCAACTTCCCTAGAGCAAGGAAATGGCTTTTTTGAAAGATGGTTTTCATTCTGACCTTTGCCTGTGGGAAGAGCACAAACATGCCTTTTTTTCTGGAATGAAATGAGGGTTATTGCCCAAGCTAGACTCTTTAGCATGGCAGGGCCTCTGTAGGAAGCTACAAGTCTAAGGCTCAATGTATGAGGCCATTTGCAGGGGTCCTGTTCTCTGGCTTAGCTGGTGGAGTGAGTAATGGGCTGGGCAAAGGTTTTGGTGGTGTGGATGGTAGAGTATGAATTTGTCCATGAACCAGGAGCTGATCTGTTCCTCATGCCACCTTTCCTACCCATAGCTTGTCAGGTGATTGTTTTCAAAGGGACAGAGAGGGCTTTGCTTAGTTCTAGGATTCAGGTTGATCTTGCTGATACAGGTTTTGACTACATTTGAAGGACCAATGGAGGGATTGTCCTGCTTGGAAGATCTATGACCTTTGAGTTACCCATTGAAGCACATAGCTATATATTTGAAGGGCTGTGAGAACACAAAACTAACCTTTTCTGTCTTATGTCCCAGAATAAGATTTCTAAATGGGTCCCCAATTCTTCTTTCTACTTAACTGGTCTGTTTCTCTTTAAACGTTCTCTCTGATGGCTTACCCTTTCCCAAGCTATAGCTATAGACATACACTGTGACATGCATTGTGGTGTATGGTTGATAGCTATGGACATTGTATATATACTATGATACATGTGTGGATACTGTGGATGGGGCATTTACCACAGCATGTGTGAGAAGCTGATAGCTATGGGTGTGACATGGATCATGTCACTTGTATGTGAGTCTGACAGCTTTGTTTTCTGACCTACAGACATTTACCACCCAGGAGACCATCACCAATGCAGAGACAGCCAAGGAGTGGTTCCTTCAGGCAGCAAAGGATGTAAGTGAGGCACACTCTGGATCATGGCTTAGTTCCTATGGTCATTTGACTTGAATAACTATTTATAAGTCTAGAGTAAATTCTAGAGTCCCCAAAAATTACTGGCATGTAACTACCACCCTGGGAAACCATGTATACACCTGGAGAATGTAGACATACTTGTCACTAGGGGCCCTGAGGGTCTTCTGTCATATCTACTTAGGCTTGGGAGGCACAAGGTGGGAATGTGAAGGCTATGGTAGGGAAATAGTAAATTTCATGGAATCGATACCACCATGGAGGAAGGGGAGTTAGAAAGAGAGGGATAGAGGAAAGGAAGAAAGAAGAGGTGAGGAAGGTTGGGAAGGAGGGAGATGGTTTTGAGGGGATGCCAGGGAAGCTGAAATGACTATTAGGTTAGAGGAGGGGGACCACAGGGTCTGTTTGGAATGAGTCCCCTAATCCCTTGACAGTCTTCCAAATTTGAAGTCTAAAGAGCAGTTAGAAGTGGCCCTTCCCCCTTGGGTTTGATGTGTTTGTTAATTAAATTTCAAAATTTTCTCATTCCCTGCCTCCTGCTGAGTGTCCTCAGTGACTGTTGAACAATGGATAGTTTTCATATTTAAAAAACACTTTTCACTTTAAATGTCTGAGGTAAACCATATTGTATATTTCCTACAACATGTCTTGTGTTAAAAGACCCTGGCCTGAGTGGCCTTGTCCTGAGAGAGACTATTATGTTTGATCTTCCCAAAATTGTATTCACATACATGGTTTCATCCTTTCCTCACAACTGGATAGATGTAGGGCAGCAGTTTGTTATCACCATTTTACAGATGAGGATACTGAGGCTCAAGGAGGTGAGTTCCTTTTCCCACAATCATGCAGTAAGCGAGTCACTGGCAGAACAAGAACAAGAACCCAGGTCTTTTTACCCTCCTCCAGGGTTCTTTCTTTTGCAGTGCACCAAAAAGAAGTATTTGAGAAAAGCTTAGGAAATTCTTTTGTTAACTTTTGTTAATATCTTTGCCGGCTTTGGGCTGAGAATCATTTAGACACCGGGGACAGTCTCACTGAGCCAAGGTCTTGTGGCTTGCCAGCAAGAGTCATACCAAGTCTTTGGCTCATGGGCAGGAAATGGGCTTCTGCAAGATTTTGCAACAGCTGGTGGTGGGGTTGGGTTATTTTTGGACTCTGCTCCCATCACTGTGGACAAGCTGACTGCGTGAGAGATGAAAAAGGAAGAACCTTGAAGAGGAGAGTGTAATCTGGAATTCAGGGTGTTTCAGGTCATCATGGGAGAACAAGAGTATGACGGTGCTTGTGGTACTAGGTTTGAGGTCTAGAAACCTGGGTTCAAGGCCTGCCTCTGCACAAAACACTAAGCTGTGGGATTCTGTGTACCTCATCTCTCAAAGGCTCATTTTCCTTACCTGTAAATCAAGTAGGGTGGCAAGCCCTAAAATCACAATTTCCTGAAAGTTTACTGGTATTTAACTGCAGGTACCCTTTGGCAGACTACCTCCATAACCCTGCCACATCTCTTTGCAGGGATGTTGGGATGATATGGTGAGATCATAGACGCAGAAGTGCCCTTTTTTTGGGCTGGGGTGGGAGGGGTGGGGGGTGGGGGTAGGCCGCAAGAATCAGGGTTAAGTGACTTACCCAGGGTCACATAGACACATAGTAAGTGTCTGAGACTGGATTTGAAGTCGGGTCCTTCTGGCTTCAGGGCTGGTGCTCTATCCCCTGCGCCACCCAGCTGATCCAAAAGAGCCTTTTAATTCCAAAGAGATGTGTATATGTGAATTATTACAATTATTGTCTGCCTTATAGACTTAGTCTAATTCTCTCTTTTTCTTTCTTTTAGCCTTCAGCTGTGGCAAAGCACTTTGTGGCCCTGTCTACCAATGCAGTAAGTATGTTAATTTACACAGCATTTATGTGTTTGCCTTGGTCTTAAACTCCCATGACTTCAAGTTCACACCTGCTGTCTGAGAGGGTGAACCTTCAAGGCCATCTCCTCCTCCTAGGGTTGTTAACCATGTCCCAAGATGGATTCTTAAGTGTCCCCCAATTAGGGACCATTTGAATTAAACCCCTAATACTAAGTTATGTAATGTCAGAACTGAGGGACCTTAGAAACTGTAGGGTTCAACCCCCTTGTTTTGCAGATGGAAACTAAGGCCCAGAGAAAGCAAGTGACATGCTCACAGTCATACTTTTTTTAAAATTAATTTATTTTGATTTATCAACAATCACTTCCATAAACATTTGAGTTTTAAATTTTTATCTGCCTCCCTCCCTACCTCCCTCCCCAAGACTGTGCACAGTCAGATATAGGCTCTACGTGTACATTCCTATTAAACATATTTTCACATTAGTGACGTTGTAAGGAAGAATTGGACTTGAACTTCTTACTTGAAGCTTTCTTACTGTTAGTCTAAGGCTCTTCCATTTTATACTGTGTGTACTCCTCCTTTCTGTTTTTCCCATGTGGTCATAGAATCTTTATTGTTTAATTATGAGAACATAAAAATTTTCTCTGAGAGACATGTTATTGTGGATAGACAACTGTCCTCAGAGTTTGGAAGGCCTGGTTCCATGTCCTACTTTGGACAGTCTTTATGACCCTGGGCACCTTTGTTCACTTCTTAGTGTCCCAGGCAATTCCCTGAGACCAAAACATGTAGAAGAAGTGCTATGGTGTTAGAGAGTTTCCTCCCTGGGATTTCCCTATACTAATAAAATGACAAATCTCATTGGGGGGGGGCAGGGTTTGCTCTTAAGGAATTAAACCTATAAGCAGTCCTATTGGACAGAAATGAGAAATATAATTCCAAAGAAATTATATCTTCCTTGTGTCTTTCCTCCCTATCCCAGGAGTTCTGATAAGAGCCTCCCACCCATAAAGGAAGCACCATTTTCTAATTTTAACTTGGTAATAACTCCCTGACCTCTCTCTTCCTCACCACTGCCATGTTGATATGGCACTATACTTTGCAAAGTTTTTTACAGACATGATCTCATTTAATCCCACAAAATGCCTGTGAGGCAAGTTGGGAAAGGTGGTAGTATCCTTAGTTTACAGAGGAGGAAATTTGAGCTGCTCTCCTGACTCCTCAGCTTGGGCTCCCTATTCCATATTATACTGACTCTGGGAGACAGTTTTGCCATTTATCATTGGCCAGGCTGGTGGTGGATGATGGTGGCAGTGGGAAAATTTCTGACTGTTTTTCTTTTCTCCTCATATCCATTTTCCCATTTTGTGATTTTCAGACTTTGCCTTTCTGTTTTGGCACAAGCCTTGACTTTTCTAGGCTGAATGTGGGGGGATGGGGTGGCAAGCTCTAGAATCACAATTACCTGGAAGTTTAATAATATTTAATTTCAGGTGCCCTTTGGCAGATGACCTATCTCAAGGGAACTCATGGGTATATGTGTGTTTCTGCATAGAGTAATTGCTGATCACATATAATTAAAATACCTGATTTTTTTTTCTCACACTATTTAGCCTAAAGTTCAAGAGTTTGGAATCGACACTCAAAATATGTTTGAATTCTGGGATGTAAGTAAAACTTTATCTGTGCTCTGTGCTGTGTCTTGCAGTTTCTTGGCTACTATAAATCACTGAATTTTTTTTTTTTTTTGTTTTGGTTAGGCAGTAGGGTTGAGTGACTTGCCCCAGGGTCACACAGCTAGTAAGTATTGTGTGTCTGAGGCCTGATTTGAACTCAGGTCTTCCTGAATCCAGGGCTGGTGCTCTATCCACTGCGCCCACCTAGCTGCCCCTAAATCACTGAATTTTAAGCAGTCACTGGTGGAGCGAGGAGTGAAGCATATGGGTGAAATAAGTTTTGGAAACCATTCTTTTCACAAATGTTTATTAAACATTTTTCCTGTATGTAGAGAGAGCACTGTGCTAGACACTGGAAAAGATATGGTTTAGGCTCATAGGATCATAACTCTAGAGCTGAGATGGCGTTGAGAAGTTGTCTGGGTCAACCCTGTCATTTTGTAGAGAGCAGACTGAGGCCCAGAGAGTAGAAGTGTCACACACTGGTTAAGTAGCAAAGTCTCCACTCAGGCTCCTTTGATTCTAAGTTGAGTGCTTTTTCCATTGTGCTGTATGGTCCCTAGGTAAGACTGTCCATGTCTTTGTGGTGCTTATAGTTAAGTTCACTGGGGGAATCAGGAATGACTGCAGCAGAATAACATGGAAAGAGTGGGCTGACTGGGACTGGAGAACCTTGATTCAGCTTCCATCTTCAGGGTATTACTAGCTATGTGAACTTGTCCAGTCACTTAACTTTATTCTTTCAGCCCCAGCTTCTTCAGGCATAAAATAAGAGGGTTAGATTAGGTGACATCTGAGGTCCAATTTCAGTTCTAGATCAATAAATCAGCAAGCATTTATTAAATGCCTACTGTATGCCAGGCACTGTGCTAGGCACTTAGAGGACACAAAGACAAAATCAAAACATTCCCTGCTCTCAAGGAGCTTAGATTGCAATTGGGAGACAACATGCAAATCTCTGTTTATGTTTGTGTGTGTATGTGTATGTATATATGCATATAAAACACATACAGAACAGATACAGGGTAACCATGGGGCAAGCACTAGCAGCTAGGGGTGACCAGGAAAGGCCTCATTAGCTTGAACTGAATCCTGAAAGAAATTAGGAATTTAGAGAGGCGAAGGTGAGAAAGGAGAGTTTTCTAGGTCTAGGGGAACACCATGTGCAAAGGCACAAAGATGAGATGAAATGTTCTATTTGAGAAACAGGAAGATGACCAATATGACTGGACTGTAGTTTGTGGAGGAAAGTAACATGTCACGAGTCTGGAAACACAGAATGAAACCAAGTTGTAAAAAACTTTAAGTGTCGAACACAGGATTTGATATTTTATCTTAGAAGTGGTGGAGAGCCATTGGAATCTGTTGAGTAATGGGGCAGGAGAGTAACATGATCAGCCCTCTGCTTAAAAAAAATCACTTTGCGGGGCAGCTAGGTGGCATAGTGGATAGAGCTCTGGCCTTGGAGTCAGGGGGACCTGAGTTCAAATCCAACCTCAGACACTTGACATTTACTAGCTGTGTTGACTCTGGGCAAGTTACTTAACCCCGATTGCCTCACCAAAAAAAAAAAATAATAAAGAAAAGAAAAGAAATCACTTTGCCAGCTGTGTGGAGGATAGATTGGAGTGGGGCATGATTTGAGACTGGGAGATCAATTACAAGGCGATTGTTATACCAGGTGAGAGGTGATGAGGGTTTGAACTAGGGTGGTGGCCTATGGGAGAAAAGGAAGTGTATAGGACACATGTTCTGAAGGTAGAAATGACAAAATTTGGCAACTGATTGGAGTGTGATGAGTGAAAATGAGGAATCAGGGATGACACAGGTTGTGAACCAGAGTGATTGGGAGGATGGACAAAGACTGGGAAGTTTGAAGGAGAGGAGTTTTGGGAGGAAAACGTGTTTTGGACATATTAAGCTTGAGATTCCTCTAGCATATCCAGTTTGAAATGTCCAGTGGGCAGTTGGTAAAGTGGGATTGGAGCTGAAAGGGAGACTAGGGCCCTGTGTAGAAGATATCCTACATAGAGAGGTTACTTAAACCCAGGGAGCTAATGGCATCCAATGAGGTCACCAAGATAGAAAAGAGAAGAAAGCCTGGAGCAAAGCTTTGGGGTACACCCATAGTTAGTGGGCATGATATAGGTGAATATGCAACCAAGAAATCTGAGAAGGGGCCATCAGAAGGGGAATCAAGAAGGAGCAAGGCAGCAAGAAAGGAACCAGTTGATGGGGAAAGATAAGAGATGGAGGAGGAGTGCGAGTGGGGGTAACTAGAGAAACATGAGGGAATGGGATCTGTGATCAGAAAATTATGATAAATACATTAGAGAGGTGCAAAAACAAAATCTGTGTGACATTCACGGCCGAAGGTGTCATTACCAACAGTGGGGAGGAAATTCTTACTTTCATTTGTCAGTGTGATTGTACAGGCTAGAGAAGGTTCCTAGATCAGCAATTTGGGGAAGCATGTGAAGACCCAGAAATGCAGAAAGCTGCCAAAGGCCTTTTGTAGAAGGTCAGAAGTCAAAACTTGCCGTGGAACCACTGGTGACAGCTGCCATGTAATTAGAGCTCCTCCTCCACTTGCTTCCTATCACTATCCCCTTGCTGGGAGCAAGCACTGTCTCAGTTATTCTCAGCACTGACATTTCTTTTCAGGTTGTGTGAACCTCAGAGTGTGGAAAGGTCAGCAGGGTGGAAGGCTTGGACCAAGGGCTGCAGTGGCTTTGGGGAGCTTCTAGCAGACCCTTGGTTGATTGTGCCCACATTTGGATGTAAAGCCACAGGACTGGCCAGTGCTTTAGTTTATCTGAGGTTGGCTTGGCATTGGGCCTGAGACTTCAAATGGCTCAAAAGAACAAGAGTTGAAATTGGCTGCTGTAGTCTTACCTGCCCTGCCAGCTCCTGCCTCTGAAGGGACATACTTTGTTCATACCTGCAAGGAGATTATTCTTCATTTCAGTTATTCTTACCTAATTCTCTGCTTGTTCCCTGTACATGTAACATGTGTCTTTGGGGAGGTATTTATAGGCACCCTTTGGTGAAGAAGATGTGGTGGCTTTCTTGGAGCTATTTTGGAAACATTATCTGGAACTGGTCTGACAAGGGATAGAATCTAAGTAGAATGCAGTCATGGCCTTTTGGTTCCATCCCTGAAACACTCATTTAGGGATGTTCATGTTCTATTTGATGCTGTCCCAAGATGGGAAAGATGGCAGATAACTTGTTTCAGGATCTGATACACCTAGAGTAACTTTCTTGTAGGTTCCTTCAAAGTATGTACCCTTCAGAGGGCTAGTGATTTTTGGGTATAGTCCACAATACCTCACATTTTGTATAGCCTTTTAAGGTGGACAGAAAGGCTTTCCTCACAATAGCCTTTAGAAGGAGGTAAGATGCAAGTATTTGTAACCCCATTTTACAGATGAGGAATCTAAGGCTCAGAAAGATTAATACAGCTGGCAAGTGGTTGAACTGGACTTAAAATCTTGTTTTTAAGTTTTAAGTCCTAGTGCTTCTTACCTTGTGCAGAGTATGTTCAGTACTCTCTAGAACAGATAAACAAAACCCCCTCCCAAGGGCATAGCAGATGAGATCTCTTTGTCCTGGTTTTTTGCTAATATTGATCCTGTTTTTCCTAGTGGGTTGGTGGACGTTACTCGTTGTGGTCAGCTATTGGCCTTTCCATCGCCCTGCATGTTGGTATGTATCAAGTCTGGGGCAGGCCCCTGGCATTCTAGCCCCATGGTTAGGATGGTCATGGTACTCCTGTTTGGGCCTGGACTGATTTCTCTTTTTTTTCCCCCCACGTAGTATGTGAACCTTCCTGACTTTATGGTCAGGAGCTCTAGTTTTCCCTCTGGCATGTGCTAGACTTGAACACTGTAGCCCAAGTAATAATATTGCTTGTTTCCCTGTGCACTTCCTCATTTAAACTGCATTAAATTAGCCTTTTGCTACAGAGTATGGCTGGCAAGGGGAGTGATCCCTGGATGGGGGGCAGTAATTCACCAATGTTACTTGGATATTCCTGGGTTCCTTTTATCCTAAGAATCCAAAAAGAGGCATTTTCCTCTTTGGTTTAGTCCAGCCCCTTTCATAATGCCAAGAGACCAAATATATCCCCAAGGGTTTGGAATAACTCAGAATGCAACTATTTCTCAGAAGCTTTTGACTTTGATTTCCTGGGAGGGATAAAAACCAGGACCCTCCTGCTTTTTGGGAGAGACAAGGAGGTAAGAATACTCCTTGCTTAGGAAGTTTTTGTTTCTTAGGTTTTGATAACTTTGAACAGCTGTTATCAGGGGCTCACTGGATGGTAAGTAGCCTCGGTAACATTTGCGCCATTCCTGCCCTTATCCAAAGTGGGTATTTTATGATGAGTGGGAAAGTTCTAATAGCCTCCAGTGGTATATAAAGAGGCTTGTTTATTTCCCTTCAGTAAATGGCTGTTGGCTTCTCTTACTAAGGTCCCAGGCTTTGTTCCTAAGACCAGCCCTACCAGGCCGTGTTTCCTCTTGTATTTGCAGTTGATTGGCTTATTGACTAAATGGACTGTGAGCTCTGTATTTCTTGTCTTGTCAAAGGAGGGGGAGGAACTAAGTGATGGTGGGGAGGTCATGCTTGTTTTTGGGAGGCCAGAGTAAGAGATCATGCTTGTTTTTTTGTCTTCTATCCTACATCTTATTAAAGGACAATCACTTCCTCACCACCCCACTGGAGAAGAATGCCCCTGTGCTGCTTGCCATGCTAGGCATCTGGTACATTAACTGTTTTGGATGTGAGACCCAGGCCCTGCTGCCCTATGACCAATATATGCACCGCTTTGCTGCCTACTTCCAGCAGGTACAGAGATTGATTGCCTTCTACTTCACCATATCCCTCTCATGAGTTCATGGCTTGTGTCACCTCTCACAGGGGGAAGTGGTAAGCCTAGCTTAAGGGTAAGGACAGATAGCTTGAGGTTTCTTTCCTATCCAACTTTCTTCTATCCTATCCTTTGGGGACCTTTTGCTATCACCAAAAGGGGAAATTTCTCATCCAGAGATGACCCTCCAGGCGCTGCCTTTTTCTCCTTTCTCCAGGGGCTACCCACTCACCCTTTCTACCAGTTGAGCCTTGTTCCTGGTGACAGTGATCCCTAAATTCTGTCAGCTGAAGTGCTGCTGTTGTTCAGTTGAGATTTTGATTGGGAAACTGGTTGGCTCAATTTAGCTTCTCCCCATTGCTGGGAACATAGTTCAAAGCCAGGCCTGTGTCCTTGGTTCAAGGCGCGCACGCGTGCGTGCGAGCGTTCGTGTGTGTGTGTGTAGATGTGTATATGTGCATTTATGAGGCTACAGGGAGAGATGTTATTTTGGTATGAGTAATGAGAAGTCTTCAAGACTTTGGCCATAGCTTCAATGGGGGATGAGTGTAGCTGGGAAATCAAAGTTTTTTTTCTTACTTTCTGTTATAGGGTGACATGGAGTCTAATGGGAAGTACATCACCAAGTCAGGAGCCCGGGTTGACTACAGTACAGGCCCCATTGTGTGGGGAGAGCCAGGGACCAATGGACAACATGCTTTCTACCAGCTTATTCACCAGGGTATGGGATATTTGGGGGGCTCTGCTGCAAGACTAAGTGCTTATAGAACCGAAATTGCAGATGGGCCAGGGCTTGTGGGGCATTCTGCTTATAGGTAGAAAGTTGCACATTTAGGCCTGATGTGTGGAGAAACTTTACAGTAGTAAATTATCCCAAAGAGTTGCTTTCCTGCTCAAGCTTCTTCAGTGGCTCCCTTTTGTCTCTAGAAAAAGGTATTTAATCCTCTGGCGTTAAAGCCTTTCATACAAACTCTCACTCCAGCCTTGCCTTCTAGACTGGTTTCATGTTTCTCCTCTTCACAGAGTCTACATTCTGGTCATTCTTGCCTCCTTCTCTGTTTGTTCCTTGTACTTGGCACTCCTTTTCCTGGTGGTGTGCCTTTGTACAAGCTTTGTGTTCCTCTATGTCTGCAATGTTCTCTCTCTTCACCTTTGCCTCTTGGCATCCTTAGGTCCTTTCAAGATGCTGCTCAAGTTCCATTTCTCCATGAGGTCTTTTCCGGCTCTCCTTCCCTCCTGCTACCCTGAAGTTACTTTGTATTTTGTTTGTCTTTTACCTGTTTGTGTACTTGTCCTTGTTTTCTCCCTCTGGGGTAATAGTAACATAAAATTATGGAGGCTAGAGATTGCCCGGCATCCAACATACTGTCAACACTTTATAAATGCTTGCTGAATTGAATTGAAAGTTGGAAAGGTTAGGAGATGTACTGGGCTCCCTCCTTCTCAAGCTCTTCAAGCAAAGCTGGGATAACCACTTGGCAGGAATCAGGTGGAGAGCAGTGTTGTTTAGATCCTTTGAGATCTGTGGTTCTTGGCTATTCTCATTTTGTTTTGGAGGAAGGGAGTGTTTCTCCTTTGAGGTGGAGTGTGGGGAACTGAACCACCCTCATCCTCTCCCTCTAGGTACCCGGATGATTCCTTGTGACTTTCTCATCCCCGTGCAGACACAGAATCCAATCCGGAATGGTCTTCATCACAAGGTATAGTGCACAAAAGCAAACCCACACCCAGTGGAGCTCATTAGGTCCAAATTGGGTTCGGGAGATGGAAAGAAATCTGGCTCTTTCAATTTTACCCATAGAATTTGGCTTCAAATTAAAATCCTTAAGGAAAGGGATTGTCTCATTTTCATCCTCATATTTTCTCTCCCTGATGCCTGACACAGTGATCTCTATATAGAAACTGCTTAATAAAAAGTTTGTTCAATTGAATGTGGCCCAGCTCCTCCAAACTCCACTCTCCTTTGTCGTTTGGGAATCAGCTTGCAGGTAGCAAATATAGAAACCTCTGCCTATATACTTAAAATCTAAAAGCCTTTGGAAACTCTTGCTTCCCTCCTAGTAACACTTCTGCCACTGTGAGTCTCTCCTGTTCCAGTATGTACATTTCCTATTCTCTTGGGGAGGAAGTTGCAATGTGGGTTCCATTGCTCCTTCCCCTAGATTCTATTAGCCAACTTTCTAGCTCAGACTGAGGCCCTGATGAAAGGGAAGACAGCAGAGGAGGCACACAAGGAACTGGAGGCTGCGGGCAAGAGCGGTGATGCCCTGAAGAAGCTGCTGCCTCATAAGGTTTGGGGGTGAGGGGCTGGTAGGATGGGCTTTGGGAATGAGACTAGTCTGGGTTTTATCAGGGCTAGCATTACAGTCTGCACCGCTGACTGAGACCTCATCGCTTAAGTTGGGAGGCTCTGTTCTCACCATCAATGTAGCCTCCATGATCAGTGTCTGGGTCCCCAGCTGACTACTTCTTGTCCAAACAGGCTGTGGCTCAGCACTGCTTTTTTTGTGGTAGCTGCAGGTCTCCTTTACCCCTTTTGTTTTGTTACTCAGAGATTCATAGGCAGTGAGGTGGGTTAAGCTAGTGATGCTGCTCTTATGGCTTTGGGTTACCATGAACATCTCTGGGTTGTAGCCAGGATCAGAATCTGAGCATCAGATCATGTGGTTTTTTACTTTGTTCTTTTCCTTGGGAATGTTTCAGAATTCATCAGTGTTGTGGTTTTTTTTTTCTTCTCTAAAGGTCTTTGAGGGAAATCGTCCTACTAATTCCATTGTCTTCACAAAGCTCACTCCTTTCATTCTTGGAGCCTTGATTGGTGAGGAAAGGCAGGAGGGACATGTGACCTTGGGCTGGGTGGGACTGGCACATCATCTAACTGTCTTTCTGTTCTCTCCACAGCCATGTATGAGCATAAGATCTTTGTTCAGGGTGTTGTCTGGGATGTCAACAGTTATGATCAGTGGGGGTGAGTGTCTCTCTCTGGGTTGTTTCTGGCCTGCAAAGTGGTGGGATATGTGTCTGGGGGCCCATGACATGATTTATTCATTATATTTACTGTAGAGTCATTCCCAGTACATACTGGGTGGTCATTTTTTGTCACCATATCATTTTGAGAAATTCTTTTTTGTCTTCCAATCTAACCTTTATAGGAAACAAGCATTTCCTTCCATTTAAAATAACTTTGTCTCCAGCTGTCCAGATGTCCAACATCATCCCCTTATACCTACCTCCCCTCTACCCCAAGTGAGGGGCAAGGCCAGAGATTTCACTGGTTTCAGGGTTTCTGTGATGGGTGGGGCTTAGTTACCTCTTTGTCAGTATTGATATTTTAAAAAAAAATATTTTCTTACTTCTTTCCTTCAATGTTTGGCCTACAGAGTGGAACTGGGAAAGCAGCTGGCCAAGAAAATTGAGCCTGAGCTGGACTCTGATAAACCTGTGACCTCTCATGATGCCTCCACCAATGGGCTGATCAGCTTTATCAAGCAGCACCGGGCCTAAGTCATGAAGCAGATGCCTGTTCCCCCAGTGACCCAGTCTCTTGTATTGTGATCTCATCTGTGTTGTAGTGACCACGTGGTTTATTCCTGCCCTGTCACAAAGAGATCCACTTGTCTTCCCTTAAGGCAGGCTACTTTCTCCTCGTCAGGAAAACAAGTCCCATCTCATGAGACCAGTTCAATTAGTGGGTTTTTAATTTTTTGGTCCTCAGTGTCACATGCTAACTCACACCATCTTTCCTTTGCACTGATACAAGTGTTCAGCCTTTCCACAATTTTCAGAGCCAATCTGAAAAATAAAAATGGCTAGCAAGGTTGTGTGGTTGCTTTCTTGCTCCGGCTTGGGGGTGGTGTCATCACATTCTCCTTGTTCCACAAATCATCACATTCTCCTTGTTCCACAAAGAGATTAACAGCTGCGGACTGTTGAATCATTTTGCCAAAGCAGAGACAAAGCTATTACTAATTCCTATAGCCCTTATCGTTTCCTTTGTCCCAGTTGTGTTATTTAGCCCAGGGATCATTCTTTGTCCACCTGACCTCTGCCATTGCTTCTCCTGAGGAAAAGATATTTATATTCATTGTGTTAGCTTCTGCTTCCATTCCTTAAATTCATAAAGTATATGCTATCCTAGGTCCTGGGAGTTCAAAGACAAAAAAAGAAAGCCTCTGCCTTCAAGGAGCTTACATTCTTTGGTGGGGATAGGGGGTGGGAGGCTGGTACAAGCACAGAGATTTTATTCAAAGTAATAGTGGGAGGGTGGTGGTGGAAAGGCATAACTGACAGAATCAGTTGAGACATTTTATAGAAGAGAGTGCTTGAGCTCAGTTTGAATCACAACAAACATTTAAGTGCCTACCACATGTTAGGTTCTCTGCCCTTAAGAAACTGAACGTTTCATAGGAAGTAGGAAATCCAAAAGAGGTACAAGTTGTCTTTTTTAGGCCTTGGGGGAGGGCAGTTGTTGCAAAGGCAGAGGACAGAGGTGACTGGAATGCAACCTGAAAGACCATACCCAATACAAAATCAGATTGCAAACAGCTTTAGATGCCAAACAAGGATTTGTGTCTGATCCTAGACAACAGGGAGCCCCTGAGGTTTCTTTTATCAGGGCATGACTTGGTCAGACTTGTGCGGGAGGAATATAGATTAGGCAGTTATGTAGACTATGGATTGCAAATTGAGGTGCCTGAAAGGTGGGACACGATTACTTAGCACTTGCAGCAGTGCTGTGGAGTAGTAATGGTGCATGAGTGGACAGAAGAGGCTGGGGGTGATGTATGACTACAAGGCTGCAAAGGACTGGAAGCTTCGTGATACTTTTTTTTGGCTAGGCAATGAAGCTGTGTCGTGCCCAAGGTCACAGCTAGTGAGCGTTAAGGCTGCATTTGAACTCGGGTCCTCCTGAGTCCGGGCCGGTGCTCTTGGCGCCACCGAGTTGCCCTTTGTGATACTTTAAATAGAAAGAGAAGGGTATGGGCAGCCGCTGATAAGCAAATAACTGAGAAAAGGCGGAACGGCTCGGGGCGCTCGTTTCAGGAAGTGCAGCACCCTCGGCATGAGAGCACCCCGCCCCTCGAGAAAGGGGGATGTGAGTTGAGGGGGCGCCAAGGGAGTGGCACTTGGGTTCCCGGGACAGCAGAGGGTCTGGCCCGGCTAGGGCTACGATCCCCTTCCATCTCCTGGAAGTTTTGACTGCGGTGGGAGTTGGGGGGGAGGAGGCAGGGAACCATGGTGATGATGTATCCAGCTCCTGGAGCCTCGGTAGCTCCGTTAGGCTGGGTTACAGGTCATGCCGGCACCTCCTCTCGTTCACTCTTCGGGATTGGCCGAGACCCGGAAAAGTTTGTCCCTTGCCGGAGTCGGTAGTTGGCGCGTGCGCATAGAGTACCGCCGTTGTAATGGCGGCTGCTGCCACGCCAGTGCTGCTGGGTCTTCGAGACGCCGAGATGAGGGGCAACTTTGAGGAATCCCAGGATGGAGCTTGGGCTGTCAATAAAATGGGCGGCGTCCCGGTGAGGTGGGGTCAGGGTTGCTGAGGTTAAAGCGACACCAGGGCCTGTGGGGATGCGGGGTCGGGTCTGGACTGTGGGCGGAGAGCGCCGCCCACCCAGAACGTGGCCTAACCGCGGGGCCGCGGCCTCTCTTTCCCAGGATAGCCTGCCCGAGGTCCCCGCCCCCCGGCCGGGCTGCGGGCGCTGCGGGGCCGCGATGGCGCACGTCGTCCAGGTATACTGCCCCCTGGAAGGCTCCCCTCACCACCGGCTGCTGCACGTGTTTGCCTGTGTCCACTCGGATTGCGTGGGGCAGCGGTGTAGGTGCGTGAGTGAGTGTCCATTTAGCCCCTGGCTCTCCCCTCACCATTCTGCCACCTCCTCCCCCTTTAATTCGTACTTTTCTACCTTTTCATTCTCCTGTACTCTTCTTCTTCCTTCTCTCCCTCTCCTTTTCCTTCTTCACCCCTCACTTCTCTCTCGGAGGTGTCCTCTGCCGCTTGTTCCTCTCCTTGTCTTCGAAGGTGTTGACCGGGTAGTCACTTTCCTCTGGGTCTCTCTTATGTTTTTCCAAAGCTGGAAGGTGTTTCGCTCCCAGTTTTTGCAGATGCAAGAAGAGTACGTACAGGGTTCCAAACTAAAGCAGGTATGTATATTTTACATCTTTAAACTGCATGCCGAGTACATTGTTTAAGCTGCAACCTCTAGTTTAGTTCTCCATAGGGTCTTCAGTTTACCGAGTTGTAAGAACTAATTACTTACTTTTTTTTTCGTTTAAAAAACAAAATTTGTTTTAAAGAAGTAGGCTAACACCGGATTTGCAGTCAGATGACGTGGATACAAATTCTGACTGTTAATTTACCACCTGTGTACCTTGATCTCTTTACAAGGTATACCATCATTTTCCTCATTTGTAAAATGAATTTGGACAAGATGATTTCTAAAGTTTCTTCCAGGTCTGAACCTAACTCTCCTATGACCTTAAATGCAAAAGTGGATCAAAAGGTCAAAAAGTGGTTTAATAACCCAGTTGGTAGAAATAAAGATAAAATAGGTTTTACAAAATACTTTCCTTGAGACAGCTTTGTGATGCAGGTAGTGCAAGTATTAGTTATTCTCATTTTACAAATGAAACTGAATCTTAAAGAATGTGATTTAGCCAGGTTCATGTGGCAAGTGTTATATTTAAAACTCAGATTTCTGCATTTAAGACTAGTTTTCTTTCTTTTATGTTATACTGACCATATTCAATTTGAACAAGCATTTCAGAGAATCACAGAATTTTGAGATTTGGCTGGGACTTCTGAAGCTATATCTAATCCAAACCATCCTTTTTTTTTTCAGTTGTTTTCAAACAAAAAAAATTTTTTTTGAATGATGAAGTTAACATATTAGATAAAACAAACAGTTCTTTACATAAAAAGCAAATATATATATATAAATCAAACTACAAATACCTACTGCTTATAGCTATCCTTCCCCCCCCCCCCCC